CCCATCCATTACCCCCTTGGTCGCCCCTTGCTCCCTGGCTACCACGCCCCAACTCTCTTGCTTCTGCGACCACTGAGCTTGTCAGTTATTATTGAATCTGGATTTTTGGCTTCCAGAACCTTCCCAGCTTTTCTTCCACTCTTAAGGTACCCTTAAGGTTCCCTAGCCATGACGATGCCTCTAGAACTTTCGCTTCCAGCCATGAAGTGAAACATTCAAGGAACACTGACTATCTAGCCATTGGTAGACACATCATAAATAACTGCTAAACCAAATCTTTATAACATTTTGTTAAATTGATTTGTTAAGTGAAAATGTTTTTTAAAAAGAAGAGATGAGAGCAATAGATAAGGTTTTGAATTCCTCTTACAAACTCAAATTAGGTCATTGGAAACACATTCCAGAAATTACCATTGGTCAAGAATAGAGAGGCCTTCAATACACAAGCCCCAATGGGTGTACCTATCAGGCAGACAGGACCATGGAATTAAATGCTATTTTTGTGCCTAGAATGCTATTCTGTACAGGCCAAGAGCTGTTTCCCCTGCAACCCAAGCAATCCCATAGCTTTCATAGTCTCTCAAAGATTAAAGCATCCTTCCCCAGTGAGAGGCAGAAGGGAGCCAGGATGGGGCCACCTAGACAAAAAGGACCACAAATTCAATGGACTCTGAAAGCAACTAGCAGGATTTTAGCCAACTTTTACAGTTTGGGTTTTGTCTGTTTTTGTTTTGTTTTCCATAAAAAGAGACTACGGTTGTAAAGGAATTGTGTGCTGGCTAGTTTTCTGTTAACATGACATCAGCTAGAGCCATTTGGGAAGAGGAACCCTCTATTGAGAAAATGTCCTACTAGATTGGCCTGTGGTGTATTTACTTAATTGATGATTGATGTAAGAGGAACCAGTTCATTGAGGGAAGTACCACCCCTGGACCACTGGTCCTGGATGCTATAAGGAAGCAGGCTGAGGAATGCATAAGGAACAAAGCAGTAAGCAGCATCCTCCATGGCCTCTGCTTGAGTTCCCACCTCCAGATCCCTCCCATGACTTCCATCAGTGATAGACTGTGATGAAGAGCTGTAAATGAAGTAAACCCTTTCCTTCCCGGGTTGCTTTTGGTCATGGTGTTTTATCACAAGAGAAACCCTAAATAAGACAAAAGTTGAAATAAATCTTAAAATCTGAGATTTGGGCTTTTGGTTTTGGGGTTTTGAGACAGGGTTTCACTGTGTAACAGCTCTGGCTGTCCTGGAATTCACTCTGTAGACCAGGCTGGCCTTGAATTCACAGAGATCCACCTGCCTCTGCCTCCTGAATGCTGGGATTAAAGGCATATGCCTTACCAACCACTGCCCCCCCCAAAAAAACTGAGAATATATTAGTGATTTAATATTTTCTTAATTTTCATGTATCATATGATGGGGAGGAGGGTGGAACAATGGAACTCAAGGCCTCATGAACACTAGGTGAGAATTCTATCCTGAGCTATTGCCTAACCTGATTTTCACCTCTTTAAGAACGAGTTTCTGCTTTGTTTTGTTTTGTTTTACACACCAGAACTTTACAGAAATCTGTCTGATTCACAGAGCAGATGAATGGATAAAGCTGAGAGTTTTGTTTTGATTTATTGTTTGGCATCTCTTTGAAGGGGAAGGTAAGGAATAAAAAGCAGGTATATAAAAAAGAAAATTCTTGTTTATAGTGTATGGTAACCTACTGAATGTTTTTAAGTTCAAAGATGTAAAGTAATATTAAAAAGAGAAGGGTAATGCTGGCTCAGTGGTTAAGGTCACAGTCTGGCTCTCAGCAACCATTGCAGGCAGCTGACAAGCCCGTGTATCCACAGCGCCAGGAAATCCAATGCTCTCTTCTGGCCTCTGTGGGCACCTGTGCTCAGGTACACGTACCCATGGGTAGTTTAAAAATACAGACAAATCACTAGACAAACTAGACGTGAGAGGGTTACATCTGTACAGAGGCCATATCTCCAGAGGGGTGATCTCGGGCAGGAGACAAGCTCTTAGGCACCCCCAGAAATGCGCCAAATTGATGTTAGGTCTGAAGAGAAGTACATACGGTTGCCTGTGTAATGCAATTGTCAGAAAGGTTTGACTTGAGCATGGTCACAGTGGAACCCAGGTGCTGTAGCATTCCATAAAACAGTCACCCCGAATTAAAAGAGCAGTGTCATAAATGCCACAGAAAAGCAAACGAACAAACAGGGGGAAGAAAAGGCAAAGGCAGGGGCTGTGGAGTGATTGCTTAGTTCTTTTTACTACTATTTCTTTAACTGAGAAAAAATTGTACTTTTTGGGGCATACCATGATATTTTAGAATAAGAATGCATCATGAAATGGCTGGGCCTACCTAACTAACTCCCCTGTCCATTATCTCACTTAATTATTTTTGTGGCACTTGTCAGCTGTCATGCATAGAATGCGTTGTCACTAACTATAACCACATATTGTACAATAATCTCTTAAACTCCTGCTGTTTTTAAAAAGTGTTTTCAACACATTTGGGCACTCTGCATGGGTGGAGGGCAGAGGACGGCTTGAAGGAGTGTTTTTTCCTTCCACCATGTGGGCCCTGGGGATCAAACTCGGGAAGTCAGGCTTGGCAGCGTGGGCCTATTCACTGAGCCCACCTCACCAGCCCCTGAACTTATTCCTTCTATCTAAGTGTCACCACTGTCTGGCCTCCTTAAGCCCTGTTTAATTATTTTATTTATACAAAATATTTATTTATAGAAGCACAATTAGTGAAATACAAATATGGATTGTGACTTGCACATTATGTTTGGTATCAAATCAATTTCTCATGCATTACAATGATGTTCAATTCATATGGAAGAATGCCTCAGCTCTTACAAAATATATTTTGGAGAGTTGGGGATAAAATATGCGTTTAAAATAACTGTCTAGCCATAATTATTTGTACGAAGTGATAAGGAAGAGTAGTGATGAAGAAGACAGCCGCCATGGTGAAACCTACCTGAAGGCACGCTGGGATCCACTGTGCTTGATTTAATTTTCGTGGCATTCAAAACAGAAGGCAACGGGGGTGGAGACAGACCGAATAATGCTATTCGGTCATTAGATACAACTGAAGAGTTGTTTTCTTCACATAGTTTAAAAGCCAAGGGCAGGTATTTATAGACCTCTTTTAAAGAAAACCTAAAAATAACAAATAGAAAAGCTCATTTCCACATGCCGGTGAACTCCTTAATGTTTATGATGACCGCATCACCAGAAGTTGGTACCAGAGTTGTCACATTCATTCCTTACCAAAACCTGTCTTGGCTCTTTGCCGAAATCCCAGTACTAATCCTAAAATTCATGCAGAATTCAAGGTTTCTAGAATACTTAGAACATTATACAAAAGGAAAGAAAGCTGGACTTGTTTCCCATTTCAAGTTAACACTGGTAAACTACAGTAATCCAGTGCTCTGCAGACAGATAGACAGACACCCCGATCAATGAGACTTAAGAGCCCAGAAAACAAAAACAAAAACAAAAGCATTCTCATTATTTACGTTCAGTTGAACCTTTCCCAGAGTGCCAAGCCATTTAATGGAGAGAACAGTCTTTTAAGTAATCTGTGCTGGGACACTTGGATACACATGTACGGAAGAGTAGAGTTGGGCTTGGGATAGTGGCTTATGCCTGTAATCCCACAATCCTAGCACCCAGGATGCTCTCTCTCTCTCTCTCTCTCTCTCTCTCTCTCTCTCTCTCTCTCTCTCTCTCTCTCTCTCTCTCCAGATCTCTATTTATATAGTCCTGGCCGTCTGGCTGTCCTAGAACTCACTCTGTAGACCAGGCTGGCCTTGAACTCACAAAGGCCCTCCTGCCTCTGCCTCCTGAGTTCAGGAACCACAGGTACAACTCACCATGCCCATCTTAACTATGTTTACTTGGCTAGAACACCAGAAACTGGACATTTACAAATACATAAACTGGCCACCATCAAAGTTGAAAATACTTTTGTTTCAAAGGGCACCATCAAGAAACAGAAATGGCCGGGCATCAGTGGGGCATGCCTTTAATCCCAGCACTCGGGTGTAGAGTGGCAATTGTAGCCACTTGAGGAGAGCCCGGCGTGTGCTCAGATGGCTAAGTGTAGAGCTACCTTATGATCTAGCAATCCGGCCAGTGTGTGAAAGAGGAGAAAGGTGAACATAGATGTCCACACAAAAGCCTGTCCTGGTAATATTGTTCACAAGGGCAAAAAGGTGGAAAGTCCTGAGCTACTATGTCTGTGGGAGAAATGGTTGCTGAGCAACAAAAAGAAAAAGGAGTGCCCAAAGATGGATGAGCGTGAATGTGCTATGAAACGTGAAAGAAGGCAGTCATCCATGATTGCTACTGTCTTCCCTGCATTGTTGATTGGCTCTGAGACTGCTAATGTACACTCGCATCTTCAACATTTCACCCATTGATTCTGACATCCATTGCTGGACCTCCGTGCAATAGTGAGAATTTGCATAACAGCGATTCCGTTATTTCCAAACATTTATTGGCATTTCCTAGAGGAAGTATTTTAACTGAATTTTGTGAAAGAAACACCATTCCCCCTCTTCCTGCCTCTCTCCATCTCTCCCTCCCCTTCCCTTCTTTCCTTCCTTTTACCAGTATGATTTGTGGAAATTAATTTTATCCTCTGTATTGTTTCTTACCAGTGTTTTTTTTGTTGTTGTTGTTGATGCTCAGAACTTCCAGCATTGGATATCAGAATTTCTTGTAGGCAGTGTGTGTGTGTGTGTGTGTGTGTGTGTGTATGTGGTGTGTGTGTGTATGTGGTGTGAATGTGTGTGTGTGTATCTGTATGTGGTGTTTGTATGTGAGTGTGTGTGTGTTTGTATGTGTGAGTGTGTGTGTGTGTGTATATCTGTGTGGTATTTGTGTGTGTTTGTATCTGTGAGTGTGTGCAGTGTGTGTGTGTATGTGTTGTACATAAAAGTTTGTAAAAAGAGAAACATTTTTTTTTTTTTTGGCAGGTGTCCTTGTAGACCTGGGTCTGGAGGAAAATGGGATGGCTCATCAGAGAGCAGAGAAATACGTTGTTCGCCTGGACAATGACATTCAAAGCAAGTTTGAAGTTTTTATGAGAAGGGTGAAACAGAATCCGTACACACTGTTTGTGCTAGTTCATGACAACTCCCATGTGGAGCTAACGAGGTGATTGCTTCTGTAGGAGCAGACCCAGTGTCTCTTCCATAGCAGTAACTGGCACCTAAGGAAGCCCTTTAAAGGCGCTCTGAAGGCCCAGGGACCCTCACATTCGGTGTCTTCCCCTTGGTAACTTCCTCCTAATCATTCCTTGACCCCCCCCCCAGCTCTTCTGTCCAATTTACACTGATTTTCATTTTTGTCATTATTGATTTGTTTTATGCATGTCCATTCATGTAGTACTCATGCACTGTTAGAAGTCAGAGGACAACTTGTGGGAATCAGTTCTTTCTTCCACCATGTTAGATCCTGGAATTGAACATACACACACACACACACACACACACACACACACACACACACACACACAATTACACAAGAAAATGAAAATAAAAATAGAATAAAATGTGTGGTTTTGAGTTTGCATGATAACCTGGCATACTCAAACTGAACAGGACTGAGAAAACTCTAGAAGCATGTCTCTCTGGGTTGTGGGGTTTGGGAGGCCTCCCAGCCCCCCTGCCATCCCTCCTCCCAGCCCTCCCTTCAACCTTCCTCCCAGTCAAGAAGCCAAGGAGGGAAGGAGGCTATTGTGGATGAAGGTCATTGCAGGCTGGAAGCTTTCACAGTGAAACAAATCGACTCAGCACTGTGGGCTCCGTAGGCTCTGTGACTGAGTTCACACTCAGAATAGCTTAGGAACAAACTGAAAAGCCAGGAAAGGGAGAGCCCCCCCCCAAAAAAAACCTGTCTGTAAGGGGTAAGGAAAAACATAAACATTTTTGTCTTTCAAACCATACTTGCTTTATGAGGCAAGATGTCATTATACAGCCCAGGGTGGCCTTGAACTGTCAATCTTCCTGCCTCGGCTTCTCCTGTGCTCTCTGACCACGGGCGTGTATCAGCACACTCTGTATCTACTCCTCTCAAATGAACAAGGACAATGCAGCTTCCCTGCTGTCACCTGCTCCCGTGTCCAGTCAGCTGGGTAAGGAATCACTAACACCACTCTTGCTGTCTCTGCAGTGTGGTTTCAGGCTCCCTGTCGCATGGTGAGCCAACTCACGGGTTAGCTGATCGAGTCATCAACTGCAGAGAAGTTCTGGAAGCTTTCAACCTCCTGGTGCTCCAGGTGAGCTCCTCCCCCTACACACTGCAGACCCAGCAGTCCCGGATCAGCTCCAGCAATGAGGTCCACTGGGTACAGCCAGACACAACGGTGAGTCTTCTGGGCCTAGCCATGTGCAGTTCCCCCTGAGGCAGAACCTGGGACTAAACACAGACGCAACTTGGCAAGAATACAGCACAAATGTGCCATGACGTCTAATTCACATAATGCTGCAGTTTTCATGTAATCACAATTTCTTGCTATTTTGCCCTGTGTGGCCCTGACCTAGCTTTCCTCATTCTTCTGAGAGCTGGGACTATGAACACTATACCTTCATGTGCCAACTGCAGTTATTACAGCATTTGACAGCTGCTGAATAGTATCCCACAGAAAGTTCACTGCATGGCTAGTCTTTAGTTATGTTTGCACGTTGTAGATACAAAGTTAATCATTCTATATAGATTTAGTATCTAGACGTGGTCAATCGGCCCTATCATCCCGGTTCTTGGGATTCTGAAGCAGAAGATCTGCAAGTTCAAAGACAGCCTGGGTTGTATACAGAGTGATGCCCTGTTTCCAAACAAAGAAGTAATATTATACCAGAGCATCATTAAAATCCTGAATTACCTGTGTGGATTTAAATGGTTAATTTCAGAGCACAGGGGTGGTAGCTCATCGCTAAAGCCCCTGTCTGGCAAGTATGAGGCATGAGACCCAATCTTCACACTGAAGACAAACGGAGACTGATTTTACACTGAGACCTGAACGCTTTGTTGTTTTCGTGAGTAGAATAATAGTCTGACTGAACGCGTCTCTGATAATTACCCTCCCCCTCCAACAACTGGATTCTCTATTTCAGTGGCTTCTTAGTCTTTGGGTTGACACTACAGTGACCATGTGGGCCCCTTCAGTAGGACTGTTAGGAGTAATCCTTTCTACACTGAACATATCAGATGGTCCTTTATGATTTGGGCTTTAGCCCCTAATATCTGAAAGTGTTTTCTCCAGCCTATAAGCTGTAGGGTAAATATATTATCAAAGAAATAAGTTTCATTAAAAATAATAAACCTTAGCCAGTGTGTTGTGGACATTAAGTGCTTTGGGTACTTAAAAATGAGTGTGTTTAAGTCAGAAACCCCAGATATGTCTTCTAGACAAATATCCACCTGGGAGCCTGTGCATCTCACTCTGTGAGGCAGGGACGTTGGTTAGGACCTTGAGTCCTCAGCATCTCCCTCAGTGTGACATCTCTTAAACCCTGTTCGTGTAGCAGAGACTATTGCAGGTTGTGGCTTTGCTGGGATCCTTTCAGTGCCCATCCATTGACTTGTCAGATTAGGATGGGCTAGCATTCTCTCCCTTTGAAGCACAGACTGAGCCTATGGCCTCTTTGAACACAAAGTGCGATTGCCTGTAGAACAGATACGAGGGAGAAGCATCTTGCAGCCGCAATGGCGCGTGGCTCTGCGGAGGGATGGAAGTCAGTGCGCTGAAGACCCCTGCACTTGTGTGTTTACTACAGTACTGCTCACAGAGAGCAGCACAGAGTCAGCACGGCTGTCTGCCGCCTAGTCAGCGGACAGTGCGTGTCTACGATGGAACACTGTTTCACCGTGAAAACAAATGGAGTCTGCCATTTGCAGCAATATGGATGGGACTAGAGAGCACTAGGGAAGGGGGGGGTCACCAAGCGCAGAAAACAAGGGTGCATGTTCTCACTTTGATCTGGAAGACAGAAGGAGGGTCCCCAAGAAGCAGAGTAGAATGGTGCTTACTACGACCTAAAAAGATGGATGCTGGAAAGCCAGAGAGAAGGTGACTAAGAGATACAGGCACACACACAAGGAAGTAACCATCAATGAAAATACTTAAGTGAATATTTCAAGACACCTAAGGAAATATGTTCTCAACACAAGGGACTACAGGTGACAACTATGCCAGCTACTCTCATTGTGTCATTCATGGTGTATGCACCTACTGAAATGTCACCGGAATGCCGCAGGTGTGCACAATTACTGTGTGTCAACTAGAGATGCAAATATTTTAAAACTTTTTTTTCTTTTTGCTCTAGAAAGCTAGTTCTATTATATGTGTCCCTTCACTATGTTGTTTTTGGCCACAGCGAACCCGTAGCTGGTCTGGCCAGTCTTCTGCAGAAGGAATCACCCCGTGATGAGGAGAAAGGCCTGTTTCTCCTGAGACGAAATCGGCTTAATGTGATTTTTCATGACTCAACCCTGTGGTTATGGTGAACATTTCCGGTATAATAGTGGTATCGGGGTCATTTTTTTAAAAAAGAGTCGTTAGTGACATCTGCTAATGAACTTACAAATTCAACATGTGACTCTGGGGTTTGTTTAAAAAAAATAACTGGGGAGGGGATCTACTCTTTTACAATAAAAGTTTAAAAGCTCGGACTATGGAGATGGCTTCACAGGCCTGACAACCTGAGTGTGACCCCTGGGCCACACAAGTGTGTATTTATGTATCACCTTCTTCACGGGCACACCATGGTGTGTGTGCATTAACAACACACTACGCACACAACACACAGAAAATAATAAAGTGCTTAAATGTAGGTTTTTAAAGATTATCCCTGTATTCAGACATGTCGCAGGTGCCTTTGTCCCAGCCACTTGGAGAACTGAGGCAGAAGGATTGCTTGAGCCCAGATTCTGCCTTTAAAAAAAATAATATATTTTTTGTTTTGTTTTTGTTTATTTTTGAGACAGGGCTTCTCTGTGTATCTCTGGCTGTCCTAGAACTCACCAGGCCGACTTTGAACTCAGAGATCCACCTGCCTCTGCTTCCCGAGTGCTGGGATTAAAGGTGTGCGCCACCAAGCACCTGGCAAAAAGATAATAATGTTTCAATAAATCACCCCTGAGGGACTGAGGTCAACAGAGAGAGGAAAATGTTGTATTCATCTGCTCTCCTATCACACTGAGTTCACCCAGCAACATGTAGGAGAAAGGGCCTCACAATTCACTTCCTTTGACTACTCGGACACCCATGTCCACTGGGGGAAGGAACTGGAGTGTAACAAAGTACTTCAATTCAAAATCCACCATCAGCACTTGTAGGTGTGTGCCCGACCTTCACAGAACACCCAGAGGGCTAACGGTAGCAAGAGAAAGCCAAGCACATACAGGGATGGAACTCGGGTTACTTAGTGGACGCGCCGTGCCTGCCGGGCCACCTCAAAGCTGGTTGTCTTTCTCCAAACCAACCAGCACCAAGGCCAGGCAGGAAAGTGAGGAGCTTAGCGCACAGGAGGGTGGGTTCTTCGGCATAACCGTGTACTGCGTCCAGATGAGGGTGGAAGTTCTTCTCCCAAAGTAACCAGAGCAACACTCAAGTGCACTGAGAAAGTATAGAGTATGTCTTTGCAACTCTCAAGTAAGACCTGCGCCAACAGGCAGGCTGTCTTGTTAGGAGGAGGGCACTAAAAATGAGAATCCTCCTAATAATAGTGCCTTATGCTGTTAAAAGAGCTTTAACGTTTCTGTTTATACCTACGTGTGTGCATGTTAGCATGTACACATGCATGTGAGTGCACACAGAGGCCAGAGGAGGGCATCAGAGACTGTGGAGCTTCCGTTACAGGCCGTTGTGAGCCGCCATATGGGTGTTAGAAACGGAACTCCGGTCCTAGGCAAGAGCAACAAGCACTCCCAGACACCAAGCCATCTCACTAGCTACCCTATATTCATTTCTTACACTCTAAACATCACAAACTTGTACTTGTAGAAGATGGGTTATTCAATGGCTCTGGGGCTGGGGGTACATTTCAGTTGGGAAAATGCTTGCTTAGCACACAGGAAGCCCATGAATGCATAGAGCCAGGAATGCCTATGGTTCCAGCCCTTGTGAGATACAGGCAGAGGGATCAGAGATTCAAGAGCATCTTCAGCTATGTATCAAGTTCAAGGCCAGCATGGGCTACATGAGATAGTGCCTCAGAAGGAGAGGAGTGTGGAGTATTGTAGCCATTTCTAACAAATTATGCATACATTTCTGGCATGCATTCCCAGGGTTACTAACTCTCTCCCTGGTCTATTCTTCTTCCTACTACCCTCATCTTATTCCTTTATTTTTATTTATTATAATTTTTGTTTATTATAATTTTAGTGTCAGCCTTGTTTCTCTTTATAAGGTAAACTAGGGAATGCTAAAAGAAAATTTTCAATTTATAATAAAAAAACATGAAAATAAAAAGCACAGGTATAAGGAAAAGTATAAACAAACAGATAAAGCCAATTCTATAAAGTCATAAACTTACTTAATATTCTGAGCCTTCTTAGATGAAATACAGCATCACATGGAACATCTCAGTATCCTCTGAGGGCATCCTGTGTCATATCCTCAAATAGTTACTGTTTGCATAGTAATGACTGGGTCAGGCAGGGCGGGGACGGACCAGTGCTGTGTGTTCTGTTTAATGAGGTAGGATGTCCTATTGCATTGTATTTTTATACTCCATTCGAAAATTAACCTTTATTTGTAAAAGGAGTTAAGTGTTTGTGATGTACAATTCTTTAGTTTTTCCCCAAACTCGATGGATACATCAGAAAAGAGAGCTGCTTCTAGCAGGAAAAGAAGCCATCTGGCCATTCCACGGAGTCCCTGGAGGAGACTAAACTAAAACACAGAACAGCGGTTACAAGAGACCCCTTGGGACTCAGGGAAAGAAAAGTTATTCTGCTCAGTGGGGTGTGAGGGAGTGACCCCGGAAGCAAATCCCTACTGGGGCCACACAGGCACTGATGGCACTGTGGTCTCTCAGGTTCCATATGGTATGGTAGACTGGATTTACGAGGGCTTTATGGTGTTGGTTAAACACAGCCTGTGTTAACAGCATTTGCTTGTTAGGATGTGTATCCCCTCCACCTTCCCAGGACAAACTGGTGGTTGTTTTTTTAATTCTTTCATAGTGCAAATGTGACCTTCATGTCTCTGAAGTCTTGAATGTAAACATTCAGGTATAATTCCGGATTTGAGTGAAGCCCAAACAAGGAACTAGGGACTGCAGAAAGCAACACCACAAAGCCTACATTTGATTTTTACCTTTCTTATTTTTTGTGTCTTGCACTGAACCAAAGAACTGATTTAGAAAAAAAAAAAAAGTAGGTTTTTTGCTTTCAAAATAAGATGACTTTTTTTTTAAATAAAAAACAAAAGAACCAAGAGATATTTTTCTTTAAGAACCAAGAGACACATACTTGAGACAAAATAAAAAATATGTATCTTTCAAAAAAAAAAAAAAAAGGAAGAAGAAGGCATCTGGCCTGTGTATCTAAACAAAAGCAAAAGGAAACAAACCTGGCGTAGTTCCCATTGGCCTAAAGGCAACATGTCAACTCGCCACTAAGTTCCATGAAAAGTTTGCATGGAAATGCAAAGTTAGTGTCAAGTTTGCCAACAGGTTCTTCTTTTATCTCCAACAATATCTCTGCACACATGCGCGCACGCGCGCACACACACACAGGCACACGTGCACACACACACACACACACACACAAGAAAGCACACATGCACGTGCGCGCGCGCGCGCACACACACACACTGTCTTCATTGGGGATCTGTTTTGTTTTCCATCAGGAGGATGTGGGCTGCGAGAAGCTATACTTTGGCTTGAATGAGTACAGCAAATCCTTGCAGTGGGGGATCACCAGCCCACTCCTGAGATGCGATGAGACCTTCGAGAAGATGGTGAGCACGCTCTTGGAGAGGTAAGAAAAGAGCTGCCCCTCGCTTTAGCTATATGTCAAACATCAAAAGCCTGTATGGCCATGTCTCAGTGAGTTTGATGGTGCTTGTACAAATGACATGGAAGGTCAAACCTTTCTCAGGGTGACCTTCTATTCCCGTGGGTTTATATGACCTTCCAAGAAGGACAAATGCAAAGTGGCCTAAGTGGGAAGCCCAGTACCACTTTTCACAATTGCCTCCTTGCCAGCTCCCTTGCAGAAGGGGATCTGTGTGTTGAAGGCCACTCCGGAGCCTGGCCAGCCTCTTGGCGTTATGCCCCCAGCTTTGTCCCTGTTTGTTGGCCACTGCGGACAAGTATCCCTGGGCAGCTCCCTCGGAGCAAAAGCTTTCTTTGAACACTGGCCGTGCATCTCCTATCCTGGGGATCCATCCTCCGGTCTTGACCTTCAAGGCTGAGGTCTTAATTCTTCTGTTTTAGAAATAACTCTTCCCGCTTAGCTAGCCCTCTGTTCCAGGCCAAACTCTGAAAGACTGGACTTTTGGTTTTCTCAGAACCTGATTCATAGACTCAAAGAAAGTACCTCCCTTCCTGCCCTCTGCCCCAGGACTGTGTGATGCAAGTCTCCCAGTCTCTGTTGATACAAGGCTTGCCACTAGGGGGTGCTCTTTCTCCAGCTAGCTCCTAGTTTCCCCTGCACCAACTCATTTTGGGGGAAAGATTTATTTCTGCTACCCGTACAACTGACCTCAAATGAGCAATAATTCATGTGCTGGTATATATATTAATTTTTTTGCTAGTTATTTTGTTGTAACAGCATCCCATTAATCCCATTATATAGCCCATGCCGGCCTGGAGTTTGCTATGGAGCCCAGATTGGGCTACAATTTTCTGTCTTCCTGCCTCTGACTCATGTGCCGGGTTACTGGTGTGTTCTACCACTCCAGCTACGGTTATCCTTTTTTAATGTCTGATACACCCAGAATAGTGACCGCAGTGTCTGTTTTCTCACTGATGTCTGAGGACTGAGCCAGCCATGCTGCCAGGCAGCGTCATGAGTTAAGATCTGGGAATACCCTGCACCCACCAGTGTGTCTCAGCCTTTCATGAGCCCAATCGCCTGTGGGAGAGGGGCTGTTCAGCTGCAGTGCTTGCTTCCGTAAGTGGGGCGTGGGTGGTCAGGCAATTCTAACTTCTGGTGCAGGTCCACTTTGAGAACGCCCCCAAACTCTAATTTACTCAATTTGTCCCAACAGGTTACACCTGCTTTGGAGGTGCAACCACTTCTAGTAAATGTGGGGTCCAAGGTCACTCAGCTCTGTAGTCCCTTCTGCAGCGTTCCATCTGCACTGTACTGCGCATGCCTTGCTGTTCCAGCCAGCTGAGCGCGAGCTGCCTGTGTTCTGTCGTAGGTACCCCAGGCTGCATAGCATGGTCGTACGCTGCTATCTTCTCATCCAGCAATACTCGGAGGCCCTGATGGCTCTCACCACCATGGCGTCACTCCGAGAGCACAGCACACCAGAAACGCTCAGCATTATGGACGACCTTCTCAGCTGCCCAGGAAAAAACAAAAGTGGGAAGGGACACATGCTCATCATCAGAGTGCCCTCCGTGCAGCTGGCGATGCTGGCCAAGGAGCGGCTGCAGGAGGTGCGCGACAAGCTGGGCCTGCAGTATCGCTTTGAGATCATCCTGGGGAGCCCGGCCTCTGAACTCCATGTTGCAACTCACTTTGTGACACGATTAAAGGTTAGCAAAGGACAGGCATGCCATTTGTTTCTGTTTTCTAGGACTCTTGGATAGGTGGACCACCCAGATAACTGAGCTGAGTACGTTTTCACACATGAGTGTGACCTCCCTGACCAGGCTAAGGCAAAACTAAAGGATGCACTTGCTTTTCTTAACTAAAACCAGTTCTAACGATCCCATCAAATCCCTCTTCCTGGGTACACACACTTGGTCTCCATGCTCTTCAAGTGCAAAAACTTAGACGACCCAATTTGCCCACATGTTTCTCGACCTTGCTCAAGATGCATCTGGCCCAGTGTCTTCTGTTTTCTCAGGGAAAGATGCGGTTCCGTCTAGCTTTCACCTCACGGATCCTTTTCTGTGCATCTAGCCTAGATGTCAGCTGGTGGCTGGTCTGTAAAGTATTCCTTTCATCTGCAAATTCTTCTAGAGCAACTTGCAGCTCCCTGCATGTGGATTTCCCAGATTGCTTCTTTGTATTTTCTTTGCCCCTTGGTGCCAGACTTTGGCTGGATTGACTGCCAGTGTCCTACAGAGTAAGGTAGTACATGATCTAGACTTGCTACTCCTGTGTAGCCAGGTACTGACTGCCTGTCCCCCTACTGCCTCTCAGGCATGGACCATATGCCTGTTCCAGGCTTCCCTGAGAACTTTTATAATCTTACTTGTCTTGGTCATTAGAAAACATTTAGTCAAATGCCCACGTTTGCATTGATGTGGGGCTGAGCTAGCTACTGTGTCTGAGTTAGACTGACATGATGTCCCGCTGTCCATGAAATCCCGAGCTAAGCTGGATTATGAGTGACCTCGTTTGGCACACATTGGCTGAAATGAAAGCTCGTGCGTGGTCTTGAAGGACTTAAACTGCATGATTTCCTCAATCTCCAACTTGGAGATTTTTATTTGCTATTCATAAATAACTTTGCAAACATTAGATTTCCTATTGTGTTATCTAACCTAAACAGAATAGCCCAAAATACTTGATAAGCAACTAGAACAAATAAGGGTATCCCCAAACAGAAACTCATATTCAGTAGCAATTATAGCATCTCTGTTTTAGATATAGACGTAGGTTCACGACTTCTGGGAGAGTGGGTTTTCAGAGGTCAGATCTTCAGCTTTTCACTAGAGAAGTTTCTCCCAATGTATAGGGAGCATGGAAGCATTCATGCCTAGCATGAGGTTGTTTCAAGGCAACTGCCATTTGTCATGGGAAGGTTGGGGGAGAGGATGAAGCCTGAGTGGCATTCTATTTGTCACTGAAGCATCGTCTACTGCCTGAAGATTGTAAGAGGTGATCAGGTGGCCTTCATACCTGGATTTTCTTTTCTTTTCTTTTTCATTTATTTTTTTTTAATAATTTATTTTTTACATTCCAATCCCAGTTCCCCCTCCCTCCTCTCTTTCCACTCCCCCCATCTGCTCCATAGAGGGTAAGGCCTCCCCCCAGAAGTCTGATAAGTCTGTCCATCATCTCCTTGAGGCAGGACAAAGGCACCTCTCCACCCCCACACTGTGTGTCCAGGCTAGGCAAGGTATCTCTCCACATAGAATGGACCCATACCTTGACTTTCTTATGAGTCAGCAAGGTTTGTGCGAGGGAGAAAAATAAAGTTATGGTCAAAGGCCACCTATAGAAAATTCCTAGGGTGAAACACCATGCCCTGAAGCCATCCTCATGGTGTTACTGAAACACGGGGCCTGTGACCGTCTGAAAACACTAAAGAACCAGAAACAACAGGCGTGGAGCAGCACTCTGGGGAATCACACACCTGTGGCCGAGCTAGGACTACAGGTGTCCCTTGGGTCTCCCGATTCCCCTTATCTAGCTCCTGACAGTCTTGGGCTGTTTGTTTAGGTTAGTACACATCAGGGGGTTATAAAAATCTGCCCCTCTGGGCCACTGTTTAAAAAACACCATGATGCTGTTCCTCGTTCATCTCTGAGCATCGGGGTCACTGGTAGTGCTTGAGAGAGGGGTTATTAGCTGTGTGTGCATCCTAGATGAGGGAGGGATACTGTTCTGAGTGAGAAGGGCTTCCTACGGGATTGGTCCCCACAGCAGTGAGAGTCTCCTTCAATTATCTGAGTGGCTGCTAGATAGACACATAAGAGAGCCCCAGATTCTCAGAACCTCTCTCTTCAGTCTCTCCTCTGGTACCATCAGTGTGAGGGTGAAAATATGAACTCCTGTGAAATGCTCACATCTGAGCAAGACTCACCAGCCGGATTCCCCTACTGTCCTTTCCCATGCTCAGATGAAAATGAAACAGCTCCCACTATATGACTTCATGCGTTATGGTTGATTGACAAGAGATGGCAAGTATTAAAATTTTAACCTTGGACAGATTAAAATCTGAATCTTAAATAAATCAATCGGTTTGCCCAACAAGCGTGTAAAGCCTGTTAGGATAAAGCTTGAGGAACTGTGGCAGGTGAGGGTGACCGAGGTCAGGGACAAACACGCCAGCAGACAGAGCTTAAGTGAGACGTTTTATTAGAGAGGAAGGGGATGGGGGGGGGGTAAAGAGACGGAGAAGACAGAAGAGGGAGACAGGAAAAGTCCTATCTGCCCCAGGGGAACAGCAGGAAAGCGTGTCAGTGGGTGAAGGTCTTTTCTTTCTTTTTCTTTCTTTCTTTTGTGAGCCACCATGTGGTTGTTGGGAATTGAACTCAGGACCTCTGGAAGAGCAATCAGTGCTCTTAAGCTCTGAGCCACCTCTCCAGCCCGAAGGGCTTCCTTTTAAAGAGTCCTTTGCTCCTGTATGCAGATTGTGCATCCATGGAATCCTGGGCTGACCAGGGCACTGCCTGAGTGCATTCTGTCTGGTGACAGGGGCAGGCCAGCGTAATGCCTGAATCCTTACAAAGCCTCTCTATAAATACCTTGGTAGTGAGCCCAGTATTGAGCTGAAACTAAGTTCTTGTCTGGTCTTTTGTGTTGGTTTAAGTTCCTCCGGGGGGAAAAAAATCACTCTGAGGCCCCAGTAGATCATGGAGGGAGTCAATGTCATTCATCACAATGTTAGTTTGATGGGAAAGCATGGCATACTGGTTTCACTGGTGTTACTGGTCAAGAGTAAAAGTGAGAAGTGTTTAGCACTCTTTGGAAAAGCTCCTCAAGTGGTGAAATATCTGTTATCCTGTCCTCATCCTGGTTCTTTACCCTCGGGGAATCGTGCATGACCGTATGGTGGATTCCGGGATCTAAAATTCTGAAGGGGAATTCCCATTGTCAGGAAAAGCATGGACGCAGAGCGATGGGCACTCTGTAAAACGACTCCTGTTCCAGGGTTGTTTGCTGTGAGTAAGGTAACTCACTGCTCCCCTCCTGTGCAGTGGGATGGGGAAGTGAAGTCCTTCTGAAGGTGTGTGTTTGAAGGCAAGGTCTCAAGTGGCCAGGCCGTCCTTAAATTCACCATGTAGCTGAGGATGACCTTGAAACCAATTCTGTTTCCACCTCCTGAGCACTGCCATTACAGGCAGATGCAAGCCGTCATGCCGTGGACCCATAAGGCTGAATGTGTGTGTGTGTGTGTGTGTGTGTGTGTGTGTGTGTGTGTGTGTGCGCGCGCGCGCGCGCGCCCACAGAAGCCAGAAGAGGGATCAGGTCCCCTGGAGCTGGAGTTACAGGTGGTTGTGAGCTGCCTGACATGGGTGCCGGGAACTGAACTCCAGTCCTCTTATAAGAGCAGGAAGTGCTCTTTAATTGCTGAGCCATCATTCCAACCGGGTTGTATTTTTTAAAAACTATATCTAGAATATTGATTTTTCTTAGTTAATTTTAAAAGTTCAATAAAAAATAATTGATAGGGAGCTGGAGATATGGCTCAGAGGTTAAGAGCACTGGCTATTCTTGCAGAGGACCCAAGTTCAATTCCCAGCAAGTGCATGATGGCATGTTTCCCCCTCCCCCAACTCCTCCCAGAACTGCCCCCACCTTCTACCCACCCAGTTTTATGTTTTTCTCTCTCTTTCAAAACAAAACCCACAAAGTGAAAACTGGGACAGACAAGCAAAAGACCAATAAGGCAAAAAAAGTCCATGAGAGAGAAGGGGTCTGTCTGTGCTTGTGTCCATGGAACCTGCCTGGAGGTTCTACCAGGTGGCTTGTTTACCCAGTGACACTCCATGGGAGAAAACTGATTTCCCACTCACTAGCAAGTACCAGTTGCAAATAGCTTGTTGGCTGAGAGCTGGGCCCGCTGAGCACTTGGCTCACTGGATGCTGGGATTCTGTCTGCCTTGAACCTGGGTGGGTCTGTGTGTGCTGCCTTAGTCTGTGAGTTCGTATGTACATCTGTCCTGTTCCCATTCGGTCACCTCCGCTTCTTACATTCTTTCTGCCTAGTCTCACTTTGGCCACTGTCCAATTGTGAGATGTTAATTCCCATCTGCTGCGGGAAGCGTCTCTGATGTATGCTGAGTGAGGCACTGACCTCTGGGCCAGTGCTGTGTCCTTTAACAGAATAACAGTAGTAGGGTTTCCCCTCGGCCCATGACCTGGCTAGTCTCAGCTTCTTGGCCTCTTTAGCAATGCGGGCTGTGAATTCCATTTCATGGAGTGGTTGTTTACTCACCTGTTAAGAATTAAGTGATGAAGGCTGGAGAGACAGCTCAGCATTTAGGAGCACTGGCTGCTCTTCCAGAGGACCTGGGTTCAAGACTCAGAAACCACGTGACATCTCACAGTAACTCTAGTCCCCAGGATCTATACATGTAGTACACACACAGACATTCATGCAGGCAAAACACCCACACACCCATAAAGGTAAATTTTTAAAAAGAAAAGTGAATTATGAAGTTTGCAGATAAATAGATGGAGCTAGAAAAAAAAAAAAAAAATCCCGAGTGAGGTAGGCCAGACCCAGGAGTCTCTCTTGTACATGGATGTCAGCTTGTGAGCTTTCAGTAGGTGAGATCTGAGTGATCACAGAGGCCAGGTCCCATGGAAGGAACAGGAGGGACGAGAGGCTCTCCCAGGAAAGGGAGTAGAATATATCGCTATGGAGAGATAAAGGGGAACGCAGAACAGGAGAGAAAGTGTGGGGGAGCACCAGGAGGAGTGGGGGAGCACCAGGAGGAGTGGGGGAGCACCAGGAGGAGCGGGGGAGCACCAGGAGGAGTGGGGGGAGCACCAGGAGGAGTGGGGGAGCACCAGGAGGAGTGGGGGGAGCACCAGGAGGAGCGGGGGGGAGCACCAGGAGGAGTGGGGGAGCACCAGGAGGAGTGGGGGAGCACCAGGAGGAGTGGGGGGAGCACCAGGAGGAGTGGGGGGAGCACCAGGAGGAGTGTGGGAGAGCACCAGGAGGAGTGGGGGAGCACCAGGAGGAGTGGGGGGAGCACCAGGAGGAGCGGGGGGAGCACCAGGAGGAGCGGGGGGAGCACCAGGAGGAGCGGGGGGAGCACCAGGAGGAGCGGGGGGAGCACCAGGAGGAGTGTGGGGGAGCACCAGGAGGAGTGGGGGAGCACCAGGAGGAGCGGGGGGAGCACCAGGAGGAGTGGGGGGAGCACCAGGAGGAGTGGGGGGAGCACCAGGAGGAGTGGGGGGAGCACCAGGAGGAGTGGGGGGAGCACCAGGAGGAGCGGGGGGGAGCACCAGGAGGAGTGGGGGAGCACCAGGAGGAGTGGGGGGGCAACTAACACTGAGGCCTTTTGAAAAGTCACGTGAGTGGGATGCTGGTGGCACACACCTGTAATCCCAGTACTCTCGAGGCAGAGGCAGGTGGATCTCTGTGAGTTCGAAGCCAGCCTGGTCTACAGAGCGAGTTCCAGGGCAGCCAGCGCTACAGACCGTGTCTTGGAAAAAAAAAAAAAAAAAAAAAAAGGAAAGTCCCATGGAAACCTACCCCTGTCGAGGCTTCCTGACATGCCTTGATTTTCAAAAGCATAAAAAGTCTCTCATGGTATGGGCGTGTGTGTGTGTGTGTGTGTGTGTGTGTGTGTGTGTGCGCGCGCACTTGAGCGCACACCTGCAGAGAAAGGAAATAAAAGTTGTACAATAAGTAAAAGCATAAGAATAGTTTGGGTCCTTTGGGGCTCTAATTGTTTTTGAATATCTGTCCCTCATCTTCTTCCTTTCGCCAGGGTCTCACTGTGTAGCCCAGGCTGACTTTGAACTCAGTGGCCCTGCTTCAGGGTCTTGAGTGCTGGGTGGGTTACAGGTGTGCACTACAAGGCCTTCCAGGTCCCAACAAAACATTAATTAAACCATTACATTATCTCTTGCCTAATAGATTTCAGTGTATTCTGAGCTTAGCAAAGGAAATGTTTGGAAAAAATGTGTTACTTAATAATAATCAATAATAATTATAAATAATTATTTAAAAGAAAAGTATATTAGCAATACTTTAAACTTAAATATGAATTATTAAAATTGTAATAACGTATTAAAATATTTTGTTTATTTATTTGTTTGAGATGGGTCCTCTCTATGTAGCCCTGACTGACCTGGAATTCACTGTGTAGACCAGCCTGGCCTTGAACTCAGAGATCCACATACCTCTGCCTCTTGAGTTCTTCGTCTTTGCTAAAGTATTCTCCACGGTGCCAGCAAGCGCTGACGGAAAGTGAAGTGTTTTCAAGTCTGGGTGCTGTGGCTGGCACTCATGTGCTGCAATGCTTGCCTGACACACGTGACGCCTGTATGTGACCCCAAGCAGTACAGAAATGCAGGGCTGCTGATGCTGAACTGTAATTCCCCACCTTGGGAGGCGGGGGCCAGGGAATCGGATGTTCAAGTTCATCTTCAAGACCCAGCCTCAGGCAAAAGCCAGGCAAACTTACAGATCCCTTTATTCTTAAATGTTTCTCAAAAGTGGGTTTGTGCTCTTGCATTGATTTGGTCATATTTTCCGGACTGATGTTAAGGATGCTGCATGGATGTGTATTTGTGTTGATATATGAGATACTGTTGTTCTGCAGGTACTTTGTGAAATCAGGAGCAAATTGCATTACTCTTCAAATACAGGCAATCAGTTTTCCTTTTTTTGCAATACTCTGGAGTCGAGTCGTCGTGCCAATTAGTCCCTGTTTAAAAAAAAAAAAAAATTTTTTTTTTTTTTTTTGATACATGTCTCATTAAGATGCCCACAGGGTGGCCTTGACCTTGGGACCTTCTCCCCCAGCCTCTTGAGTAGCTGATTAGACTTGCACCTCCAGGAAAGTTATTTTTAAAGTCAAGAAAGAGAGAAAGAGAAAAAATAACTACCAGAATTGGGGCTGTCTTCATTATTTGCTTGATTGAAATGTTTTGGAAGAGCTTTGAGATTCTTCCCCTGACAACTAAAACTGCCCGAGTCCCAGAGTTTGTCCATTAAAACTGTAGTTCAGTGCCGGATTCAGCAAGTGTGTGGCTTGGGCCTATGCACTGCACATCGCCGGAAGGTGTGCTAGTGTGACCCTCTGGCCTGTGCAGCTGAGTGAAGCTCGCCAAACTTTCTGTGATCTTGAGAAGGAACTGAACCCTACATGCTTTGAAGGGCCTGTCCTGCCAAAGGGTTCCAAGTCATCCTTGGCTACATAAGGGGTTTGAGGCTAGCCTGGGCTACATGAGACCCTGTCTCAAAGATCAAAAATAAAAAACAACCATTCTAATATACATGCTCTACACACTTAGTGCAGATGATTAAAAAGCTTGGCATGTTGGAACCCTGTACCCAGAAACCTTTTAGAAACACATCAATTTGAATGAGGAGCATTAATGATCTCTTCTGTATCTCGACTACAGATCTGGAGAGGAATTAATCAGGAAGCATGGACCCCTCAAACATATCAAGACTTGGAGGGGCTGCCCTGCATAGTGATAATAACCGGCAAGGACCCTCTTGGAGAAACCTTTCCCAGGTGAGATGTGGGTCCCAGGATCTGCCCCAGGTGCTGCCAAATTACTCATGAACCGATTTCAGTTGTCTGGCAGCAATGGTTTCATAAAGAGGCAAAAGAAACAGAGCCTCATCCATTCTGCCTTTCAGATTCCCAGTTCTGGAATAGGACTGAGCTACGGGTAAAGAGTGGCTTTGCCCCAGAGCAAGGCAGCCAGAGAGGCTGAGAGGAAAGGCAGGAAATGATGGATGATACACAGACAGATAGACAGATGACAGACAGACAGACAGACATAGGTATTCAGATAGATTATAGATGGATGATAGATATATAGATTATAGACACATGATAGGTAGGTAGATTAGATAGAAAGATAGTTAGATAGATAGATACATAGATAAACAGATGATAGGTAGGTAGATGATAGATAGACATTTTTGATAAAGCACTTTGTTAATCTGATGCTCTAAACTCCCCCAAGGATCTAGGGACGGTAGATTGGAAGCCAATACAAATGAAAGTACCAGCTGAACGTCTACTGTGTCAGCCCAAGGCTCTCACATGCCATACCTCTTTCCTTGATGAGCCAGCTCTGTCCCTGAGCCTTTGACTTTGGCTTTTAGAGATGCTGGAGCTGGGATCCAGGCCTTCACACATGCTGGGCAAGTTCTCTGCCACTGATCTGTATGTCCCACCCCTGCCCCACCCCGTTTTATACTCTGGGTCACAGGAGGAGTGGAGTTTTATACTCTGGGTCACAGGAGGAGTGGAGCACAAAGATGGCTAGCTGGGAGGTGAGAGAGAGAGAGATGCGAAGCAGACTTACCCAGTCCTGAAGCCTGTGGTCTTCACTGTCCCGTGGATCACAGTACCTTCAGGCATGCGTAGGTATTCTGTGTTGGAGGGACACGCCCCTAATATAGTTCCTTCTGTACAGGTCCTTAAAGTACTGCGACTTGCGATTAATCGACTCAAGCTACTTAACTCGCACGGCCTTGGAGCAGGAGGTGGGTCTGGCATGCTGCTATGTCTCAAAAGAGGTCCTCCGGGGGCCTGCCGCTGCCCTAGACCTCAGTGGGAAGGTGGCAGAGAAGGCCCCCACCAGTGAGAATGACCCCGAGGAGCTGCTCATCGATTTGGAGCGACCGCAGAGCAACAGCAGCGCTGTCACAGGGACCTCAGGTCAGAACTCTCCTTCAAAAGGCTGAGCTTGTCACTGACCCCCAAAGCCTCCAAGCAATGGCAGGGCCGTCCTCCGCAGGCCTCAGCTTATAGGAAGGGTGCTTGCAAAGCAGGGGAGCTGAATAGCTACTGCTGCCTCTGGGTGGGATCATGGGCTTAGTAAGAGGCAAGGCTAACCGGTTTGCCTCTTAGCCTGCACCATTCTCCCTGATGCATCTCCCTCTCCTTCCAGAGCTCAGATTTGCATAGAGACTTTGTTTTCAGTCTAGAGATGGAAGCTGTAAGCTTGCATTAGGTGACCTAATACCTGGTACTAATGTCAGATGGATGGACGGACAGACAGACGGATGGATGGGCGGGCGGGCGGGAAAGATGAATGAAAGAATGATGGTTGAATGAAGGATGCATGAATACGTGAATGGATGGCTAGTTCCCCTAAGTACTTGCTGGCAGACTTTTCAGAGGCTGTTAGGTGACGGCAAAGCCTGGTGTAAAATTTCTTTTAGTCAACTGTAATATGTAATATAGCAAATGTTATGAAAATAAAAAAGCCTAATGTAGAAGACGCAAAAGTGCGAGGAAAGATTCCAGTGAAGCACCCCTCCAGAGGTGTCCCACTCACGCTCTGGATTAGCATGGGGATTAGGTCATCGCCTGGGCATGCGCGTGCAAGCCGGCACACACTTACGCCCAGAGTAGCACCAGTGTTCCTGTTGACTCTGCCAGGAGTTGTTGGCTGATTGCACACCTCTGGGCCTCCTGTCTGCAGTGACCCAGGGCCTGGAGGGACACGAAAACCAGCTGGGTCAGGTGTTTACCTCCTATCGCTGCCCCCCCAACTGCACTACTGCAGGCTCCTCAATTTTCCTGAAAGCATCTCAGAAAAGCCAGAGGACAGTACACGGTAACGAGATGAAGGGCAGATGTCACATCTAAGATCTTGGGAATATGAGGTCAGGAAGGGACGCGAATTACCCATAGTCTCTCCCTGTCGTGACATGACCAGCAAGTTCTATAGGATTTTTAATGTACTCATGTCCCCGATAAACTTACAGGGTGGCGTCCTTCCTGCTTCCAGGAATAAGTCACTGGTCATTCCGTGCTGGTGGCTGGTGACTGACAGATGGTGCGTGCGGTTTCTCAGCCCATGCAGGGGCAGCACTCACGCGCCTCCCTCTGTAAAATGGAGTGAGCACTGTTTTATTAACACTGTGGAATAACAAGGGTTACTTGGCAACCCTACAGTCACAGGAGCATTGGGAAAAGCACTTTCCTTCTCTTTAATTGTGTGTGTGAGAGAGGAGAGAGAGAGTGTGTGTGAGAGTGTGTGATAGAGACTGAGAGAGTGTGTGTGTGAGTGTGAGAGAGGAGAGTGTGTGTGTGTGTGAGTATGTGTGTTTGTGTGTGTGAGAGGAGAGAGAGTGAGTGTGTGTGTGTGTGAGAGAGAGAGTGTGTGTGAATGTATGTGTGTGTGATAGAGACTGAGAGAGTGTGTGTGAGAGAGAGTGTGTGAATGTATGTGTGTGTGATAGAGACTGAGAGAGTGTGTGTCTGTGTGTATGTGAGTGTGTGTGTTTGTGTGTGAGAGGAGAGAGAGTGTGTGTGTGTGTGTGAGAGAGTGTGTGAATGTATGTGTGTGTGATAGAGACTGAGAGAGTGTGTGTCTGTGTGTGTATGTGAGTGTGTGTGTTTGTGTGTGTGTGAGAGAGAGTGTGTGTGTGTGTCTGTGTGTGTATGTGAGTGTGTGTGTTTGTGTGTGTGAGAGAGAGTGTGTGTGTGTGTCTGTGTGTATGTGAGTGTGTGTGTTTGTGTGTGTGTGTGAGAGAGAGAGTGTGTGTGTGTGTGTGTGGTGTACAGTATACGCGTGTGAATGCAGCACCCACAGTGGCCAGAGGCCTTGGGTACAGGTATTTGTAGGTGCTGGAAGGGCGGTCTATGCTCTTAACTTCTGAGCCATCTCTCCAACCCAGGAGAGGATTGCTTTTAACAACTGAAGGTCCCATAGCTGGGATTCGAACGGTATGGCTGGACACCACCTCTTTGAGCTCAGGGAGGATCTTCAGCCATGAGAATTAGGAGGCTCATCCACTTAAAGTTCACAGAGAAAGAAAGACACTGGACCCTCTCGACTCCTTTTCTGGATCTCCTTCCATCCCTACCTTGGTTTAGGAACTGAGGAACTTGGCAGAGGGGAAAGCCTCTCAGCCCACCAAGGCAGCGAGTACCCCTGAAAAGGACTCAGATGTGGGACCTATGAGTCCATTCATTGCCATCGGACAGAGGAGAACTACTTCCAAAAATGTTGGAAGGCTCTAGAAAAGGGGCAGCAGGTGACAAAGTACTGGGATCTAGTGACCCTGAGAACCGAGCCTGGCTTCCCAGAGAAAGGTGGTCACCCAGGGGCAATGTGGGGAGATGGAACCAACTTCTAGCTTGGGTCTCCCATGGGCCAAGCCCCCCCAGAAGCCAGCGCAAGGGAGCAGTGTGGAGCCGAGGCAGAAGGAATGCTCCATCGCTGTCTGCTCCAAAAGCTCTTTCCAGTTTGTTTTTTCAGCAGCCTTTACCTCCTGACCTGGACATCAGGGAGGGGTGGGAATAGGATGAGCTCCACTGTCGTCTTGCAGGTTCCATCATGGAGAACGGGGTGAGTTCCTCTTGCACCGCCGACAAACCCCAGCAGCAGCCTCTGACCCCCACCTTCCAGAGCCCCGCCCCCAGCGTGCGGCTGGATGAAGGAGTCTCCGCCAGCACCGGCACCGCTGCTGCTGCGGCCGGGGAGAGCCTGAAGCAGGAGTGTGACTCCTTGAGCATTCCCATGGCCAGCAGCGTCGCCTCCAAGCCTTCTTCGTCCTCCTCCTCGAGTGCCCAGGCTCTCGCGTGGTCAGGGCAGCCCCCCGGAGGCTGCAGGAGCCTGCGCACAGCCCTCCCCCCAGTGGTAATCTTATCCAAAGCGGCTTACAGCCTGCTAGGATCCCAGAAGGGAGGCCGGCTGCCACCCTCCTCCTCCCTGCTACCCCACGCTGACGTTGCCTGGGTGAGCTCCCTGCGGCCGAGCCTGCACAAGGGCATGAGCAGCGAGGAGCAGTCCCTGTACTACCGCCAGTGGACCTCGGCCAGGCAGCACCATGCTGACTACAGCAACCAGCCAGACCCCGCCTCAGGCGCCCGGTTCTTGCACCCCAGGCGGCTGCTGCTCACTGGGCCCCCCCAGGTAGGGACAGACCAGGGCAGACCTTGTCTTGACTGTTGGGGGGACATCTTGGGGGCTGGCGGGGATGGCAGAGAACCTCATTCAGACCTCAGCTGAAGAGCCAAAGTGTGAAAGAAATCTCTCTTCTTCTCCCTCTCCCTCTCTTCCCCCTTCCTGGATGAACAATGCCTCCATCAGGTGGGGAAGACTGCCTCCTATTTGCAGTTCCTTAGGATTCTCTTCCGCATGCTCATCCGGCTGCTGGAGGTGGACGTGTATGACGAGGAGGAGATAAACACAGGTGAGGCTTGAGATTATGACCAAGGCATGGGACCCAAGAGCCAAGGCCACGTTGCCCTCTGGGTGTCTAGGGTCCCTAAGCTGCAGACTCATCATGGACTGGAGACAAATGAATGGCAGCCCTCAGCTTCTAGGGGCCTCTCTCTGGCATCAGCAAGCTGCTATGCTGTGCATGGGGGAGGGGGGCGGGTCTCCTCACCTTTGGTAGGTAGGTAGGTTCACTGCCTAGACAGGGAAACCCTGTGGTTCTTGACAGCCCTGCACTGAGCTCCTAAGCATCACAGCCTTTCATTTTACCCAACACTGGGCCCTCACACAGACAGACAGACAGTCAAAGGACATGCAATCCCGCCCCTGCCAGCCCCATCCCCTGACCTGGGGTGCCAAAGCATTCCCTGTCACTTGCCTCCCAACAAGAGGGCTTAGCCTTCTCCTCTCCCCACTGGGCGTCCCCAAGTTACATATTATTAATGATAAACACCTTGTGTTGCACACATAACCCGTGCCTGCTGCTGTAGCACCTGGAATAACCATGTCTCTAAGACCTGCATGAGCTGATACAGGGGGGGGGGGGGGGGGGGGGGAGGGCTGCTTGTGCCTAGAGGCTACAAGGTGTGGGTGGGGCAAGGATTTAAGCTCTGGAAACACCTGAAGGCTGGCGCCTGGGGAAAGATGTTGCCTCTGTTGCTCTTGGGGACCTGTGAGGGGATGGGATGGGACAAGTGTGTACTGGAATACAGAACACCCAGGGATTTCTAACGTACTGTATACACTGGGACTTCTGCTCACTGCATCCTAAACTTTCAGGCAGCTTCAGGCCTACTTCCTAAGCTAAAATCCCAGCTAAGGCAGGAGAGGGAATGCCAGCAAGGATTGCCTGGGACCTGGTCAACTTAGTAAAAACTTGTATTACGCAGGACTCTGTAATGATACATTAAAAGGTGGTTTATTAGAGTGGCTCCCAGGCTGCGGTCTGCCTAGTCCAGCAATGCTGTCTTCTGATAGAAAGGCCAATATTTGACAGCTATTCAGCTGGTCTATGGTCTACATTGGAATCCAAAAAAAAAAAAAAAAAGAGGAAGGAATGTCTCTGCCTCAGCAGCAGGATAGATGAACTTGCTAGCAAGAGTGAGAGCAAGCAGGCAAAAAGCAAAAGGTCCCTCCTTCCATGTCCTTTGATGTATGCTGCCACCAGAAGGTGTGACCCAAATTTAAGGTGTCTTCTGAGCCAGTCAAGAAAATTCTTCACAGGTGTGCCCATTTGCATGGGTTTTAGTGGATTTCTGACGCAGTCAAATTGACGACGATATTAGCCATCCTTGTCTCAGGTGCGTATAGAAAGTGCTGGGTCTACGGCTCAATGGCAGAGTGTTTGCCTGGCATAGGCCACGCAGGAAGTACCAGAACTGCAGGAATGGTTCTGGTTCCTTCTCCCCCAGGGTAAGAGCTTGCTTTGAGGCTAGAGAGATGGCTCAGAGGTTAAGAGCACTGGCTGCTCTTCCAGAGGACCCAGGTTCAATTCCCAGCACCCACATGACAGCTCACAAGCGTCTAACTCCAGTTCCAGGGATCAGACACCCTCACACAGACAGACAGTCAAAACACTGATCAATGCTCCTAATATAAATAAGTAAAAAATAAAGACAAAAGAGAGCTCCTGTCTCCAAAGTGCTTTGTCACACCCTGCCCAGGCTTTGTACTTGAGCGTGGTGGGGGGAGGGCAGGAGGTGAGGGAGGGGGAGGGGAGGAGGTGGACCCACCATCCCGTGCCCTGCTTTGCCCTAGATTACAATGAAACCAGTGGAGCGAGCCAGTCAGAGGGCGATCCCTGGCCTGACATTGAGACTTTCAGCAAAATGCCTTTCGACATCAGCGTGCACGATCCCAAGTACAGGGTGATGAGCCTGGTCTACAATGAGAAGCTGGCTGGGGTCAAACAAGGTCAGTGTGGGCAGAGCCAGGCTCAGGGCTGTCTCTCAGGGTGGGCAGGGGTGGGCAGGGAGACAGGCCACACTCCTTTGACAAGAGTGCAACATTGTTTTCCACTCTTACACACGAACACACACACACATCTCAAATGATAGTCTTTGAGAAGTCTGTATGAGATAAGAGCATTTTTCCCCAAGCTTTATGCGTGTGTCCCGGACATAATCGTTTCTCGTCCGCTGGTCCACAGAAGTCATGCAGGAGCGCAGCGCTGAGGAGCCCGGGAAACGAGGGACCGTGTCTATGATGCTGACGAAGTATGCAGCCTACAACACCTTTCACCACTGTGAGCAGTGCCACCAGTACATGCTCTCCACGCCCGCCGTCCAGGTGCAGCCGCTTCGCCTTTCCCGGGAGCCCTGCTCATCCGCCTGTGTCCAGGCTGCGTCGGGAGCCCTGCTCGTGCCGACCTGTCTCCGTACTGTCCCGGGAGCCCTGCTCAGTGCCGACCTGTGTCCGTACTGCTTTCCCGGGAGCCCTGCTCAGTGCCGACCTGTGTCCGTACTGCTTTCCCGGGAGCCCTGCTAGTGCCGACCTGTGTCCATACTGCTTTCCCGGGAGCCCTGCTCAGTGCCGACCTGTGTCCATACTGCTTTCCCGGGAGCCCTGCTCAGTGCCGACCTGTGTCCGTACTGCTTTCCCGGGAGCCCTGCTCAGTGCCGACCTGTGTCCGTACTGCTTTCCCGGGAGCCCTGCTCAGTGCCGACCTGTGTCCGTACTGCTTTCCCGGGAGCCCTGCTCAGTGCTGACCTGTGTGTCCTTGGGGAGAGGGGAGGGCGAGACCTGAGACCCCCGGCTTCAGGCCCTGGAGAAACATTGTAAACTATTACTTAGCAGCTGTCTCTTCCTGTGGCTTCCTTCTTGGTACAAGAACTCAGTGCTCTAGGCTAGCCTCCAATTCCCAACCCTCCTGCATACTGAGTGGAATTGTAGGCATGTCTACGGGGCCTGGTTTTTTTATTTTCCAGTATTTTGGTCATTATCCATTCCAGGGCCTTGCAAATGATTAGTAGGTACTCCAGCAGCCCCTCCCCCTTGGGCATCTTTTTTTGCCTAGTGCATCCTTACCCACAAAAGGAGGAAGCAGCAGCTGGCAGTAGCATCCCTGCTTTGGGGGAGAAGCTCTCTACCATTTCCCCATTTCTCTTCTTGAGTGTATGTCTTGGCACCGTTGCTTCTAGGCTGTGCAGAGCAAATTCCCCAAACCTTTTCCTCCTCAGGACCACCCCTCCCCTAGAAAGGACAACCCCATCAACGGTCACTAGAAACAACATGGAAAACTGGCTATAGGTCACCTGTCCATCATTTGCTTTCTTGGAGAGCTACTAGTCTGTTGACAATTTAATTAAGCGGTGTGGGGTGGTGTGTGTGTGTGTGTGTGTGTGTGTGTGTGTGTGTGTGTGTGTGTATTAGTTGCCTCACTCCACCATTGTAGCCAAAGTGTGACTTACCCTCCTCAGACCGGCTTTATCAGGGCTCCATACTTGGCCCTTGCATCAGTCACAGCTAGTAAATGATAAAGCCTTTTACACATTGCTCCTCACAGCCAGGGTGTCTGGTGGCACTTATTCATGTCGGTTGCTTGTGTCAAAAATCTAAAATGGCCTGGAAGTTTGGGAACCATATACTGACTCTTTCTTTTTCCCAAATCTAGATGTCTGACTCTACCCTGCATGCGTTCACATTTTCTTCTTCCATGCTGGGGGAAGAGGTTCAGCTCTATTTCATCATCCCCAAGTCCAAAGAGAGTCATTTTGTCTTCAGCAAGCAGGGCAGACACCTGGAAAGCATGCGGCTGCCGCTTATTTCGGACAAGGTGGGCTAGAGGTTGTGGATGTGAGGGCTGCTGGGCCTTACATGGGGTCCTCCAGGATGCTCGCATCTGAGGGTTTTACTTTCCCGTTTTGCTCTCCTTTGTTGTCTTTCACAGAATCTAAATGCAGTCAAGAGCCCTATATTCACTCCTTCCAGTGGTCGCCACGAGCACGGACTCCTAAACCTTTTCCATGCCATGGAGGGCATCAGCCACCTTCACCTCCTGGTGGTCAAAGAATATGAGATGCCACTGTACCGAAAGTACTGGCCCAACCACATCATGCTGGTGCTTCCGGGCATGTTCAATAACGCAGGCGTGGGTAAGGGTGCCCTTGGGGCGAGAGGACAATCAGAACCTGTTCTCCTGGTTTGCATCTTCTGAAGGCTGCCTCTGGGAATTGCCTTGCCTTCCGGACCACAGGTCTTTTGACTCTGAGTTCTTCCTTCTCCCCTGGCTTATAATTTTGTAGACCCTAATATTTTTGTTCAGGGTTACAGAATTTTTAACTTATGAGGACTGGTAAAAACTAAATCACCAGAATATTGAATACCCTGGGACAGGGCAGGAGTCTTTCTAGTACAGACTCCCAATGTTCTTGGGCTGGATATTCTAGGGCCAGAATGTATCCATGACAAATGTCCCTACGATGAGAGGTGATGATGTATCTGATTTAGAGAACCCCCTACCGCGTGTCCTGTCAAGTCCTGTCAATTAACCGGAAGCATTTTAATTAATTCTTATACGACGGTAAGGGTGCAACTCCACTTTTTCATGTGGCCATCCAGATGTTCCAATGCAACTGTTAAAGACATTTTCCCCCCCACTGAATGGCATTGGCACCCTTGTCACTTATGAGAGGGTTTATTTCTTGGATCTATATATACATCTGTCTTTATGTCATTCATACATGGCTTTAAGTTTTGAAAGGAAGAAGTATAAAACCTGAAACTTTTAAATAAAACTTCAGACATATTTGCATATTTGTATGGACTTTAATATGACAATGTATATAATATATAATCAAATTAGAGTGCATACACTTCCTTAAATAGGAATCACTTTTATGTGTTTGGAGTTTTGTATTCTTCCAGTCACTTTCAAATGTATCATATGTGATTTTAACTAAGTTACTCAACTATGCTATAGGAAACTAGAACTCCTGCTTGGGGATCTTTGCCAGACTCCTTCCCGGTCTTTACTGAGCATCTTCCACTGAGTTCTTCTCATTAATGAGAATGAACCCTATTCTCCTGTTTCTGGCTGGGTTCATAATGACCTCCAGTTTAGTCCATGTTGCTACCGGATACAAGAGACGGGATTCTTCTTGCTTGCTTGCTTTTTTTCCAGACAGGGTTTCCCTGTGTAGTCCTCGCTGTCCAGGAATTGCTTTGTAGACCAAGCTGGCCTTGAACTCTACCTGCCTCTGCCTCTTGGGCAGAGACCTGGGATTAAGGGCATGTGCCACCACCCCCAGCTTTTTTTTTTTTTTTTAAACAAGCCAATTTTGGGGAGTTCGTTTCTTATAGGTGAAATACTTGATGACATCCTTAGCCTGAGATTCTGTGCCAAAGTCCATTTTAAAAACCCAATGCTATTAAAGTTCTTAGAACTAGCTATGGTGAAACTTTAATTGAAAGTTAACCAAAATGCTTTTCAACATTACAATATTGTAGCCATTCTCAGGGACCTGAAAGAACTTTAGTTGTTCCTAAGACACAATATGGCACCACTATTGCCAGATTTTTTCCAGAAGTTCTGGAGAAATCCATTCAGGTAGGCAGATTAATTAGGGAACTCAGGATCCATTGCCAGATTTTTTCCAGAAGTTCTGGAGAAATCCATTCAGGTAGGCAGATTAATTAGGGAACTCAGGATCCCATTCTCTTTATGGTCGTATGGTTCTCATATTGCCTTTATCTATGGGAATCTAGGTTGATCCCACTATTGAAGATGTTCTGAATAGACATGAGGTTGTTTACAAGTGTCTCTTCAGTATAAATGGTTCTCTCTCTTGGATATTCACCAAGCATTGAACTTGCTGGATCACGTGGTACTCCAGCTTCAGTTTGCTTTAGGTAGGACCCTGCATATTTTCTATAATGTGCCCCACCAACACATAAGAGACCTTTTCACTCTGCACCCTTATGGACATTGTCACTTTAATGATGTGTTTTGGAGACAGTCCTTCTGAGCGGAGACGCTATCGCTGTAGTTTTGGATTGCATTCTTTGCTGATGGTGATATCGAGCATTTTATGTATTTCTTGGCTATTTGGAGTCTTTGATTTTTAGACATCTTATTAGGTAGCCATGACTAGTCTTGAACTGGTGATTTTCCTATCTAAACCTCTCAAGTGCTAAGAGTAAAGTTGTGCACCATCATTCCAAGTCAGCCCCCCCCCTTTTTTTCTCTTTTTGTTGTTGTTGACTTTTCAAGTCAGGATTGCTCTGTGTAGCTCTGGATATCTTAAAACTCACTCTGTAGACCAGGCTGGCCTTGAACTCAGAGAACCTCTTGCCTCTGCCTCCTGAGTGCTGGGATTAAAGGCATGTGCCACCAATGCCTGGCCCCAGTCCACTTTCTAACTGTATTACTTGCTACTCAGATTCTGGAATTCCTTATATATTCCAGAAATTAATCCCTTGTTGGATCAGTAATTTTCAAGTGTTTTGTCCCATTCTGTATGCTGTCTCTTATTTATGTATTTATATAGGTTGTCTTATCTCTGCTGATTATTTCCTTCTTCAAAAGCTTCTTAGTTTGATATAATCCACCTTATCTATCTTTGCCTTTTGAGCTGCTATTTGAAAAACAAAATCAGAAAGACTTCTAATTTGGTTGCCCTCAGGTTCCATTAAGAATATTTTTTTTCTGTTTCTATGAAAAAATATTAAGTACATTAATCTTTTGAAGTATAGTTATGTACAAAACATGTTTTATAACTATGAATATTTGGCATCTTTCCATTTATTGGCCTATCTTTCTATTTCTTTAATCAATATTTTGTGTTTCTCACTGTATGTAATCTTTTTCCTCCTTGGATAAGTGTATTCTTGAGTATTCTACCTTTTTCATGCTATAATAGAAATAAATTCCTGAGACTATTTTTTTTTAAATTGCTGGATTCTCTTATTAGTTCTAATAGTTTTCTGTGTATTTTCTCCATGTATGATATATTGGCGGGGAGCATCCTTTTACTATTTTTGATGGAGATCACTTCCATTTTCTTGCCTAATTGCTGTGGCTAGGTCTTCTAGTACTGTTAATTGAAGTAGGCATTTTCTTGTTCACCACTGACTGCATGGTTGCTGTCCATTTTTCCTATGTGGTCCATGCTATGTTGAGAATGCAAAGCATCACACAGACTCTTGAGGGGAAGATATTCCTAAACCCTAATATTGCCTACTGTTTGGGTTCTTCCATACATTAACTACCCTTTTCTGTTATAATCTACATTTTGTTTCATTTTAGGGTGGTCTACTTATAAAGTTTAGCTAATTCTTCTCACCATTAACATTCCTTAGTGTGTGCCATATGCTAGGTGCCATCCTGACTACATATAACTTCCCCATCTTTCTTAGAAGGGAGTCAAAGCTCAGCAGAGTTAACTCGTCCAGACAAAAGCTTAAAGAGTATCAGGACTATCTCAGACAGCCATCCCTGGCCTTTTCTCCTGCTCTGTACCATGTGTTTTATCTACTTGTACTCTCCTATCTTCTGCAAAATGAAGATCTAGGACGAGCACCTGTTTCCAAAATCTCCATTCATCGTGGCCCTGCCTTACTGTCTGAGGTAGGGTGTGGTAGTGGCTCCTCTAAGAGCGAGCTTGTCATGTCCTAAGGCCCTAGTCACTAATATCATTTGCTGTGTGAGGTGTCCCCTGTCATAACAGGGAGACAGAATTCTTGAAGTATATTCCTCAGAGTGTTCAGTTTACACATCAGATTTGTTTGTGGCCCTTCACTAGACTTACTCAAGTCCATCTCTAGTAATGGGTTCCAGGAATCTGTTTCCCAGTCTTTTTGTTTGTTTGTTTTTTAGATTTTAAAAAACAGTGTCTGTACAAGTGTGGGTGCTCATTAGAGGCTAGAAGCATCAGATCCCCCTGGAGCTGTGTGACATGGGCATTAAGAACCAAACTCGGGTCCTCTGCTTCTTTTCCTCAGCACGCCCGCCCCATACCTGTGACTCTGTCTGCTCCCACATGCACACAGGCTGCCAGGGGGTCATGTGACTGGTCTGAATAAGGATGTAGAGCTGTGGTTGTACTGCCTTCCAGGTGCTGCTAGGTTCCTCATTAAGGAGCTGTCATACCACAATCTAGAACTGGAGAGGAATCGCCTGGAGGAGCTGGGAGTCAAACGGCAGTGTGTCTGGCCTTTCATCGTTGTAATGGACGACTCCTGTGTCCTGTGGAACATCCACAGTGTTCAGGAGCAAACCAGGTAGTGATACTTCCAGGAAGTTGTGTGCCTGTGAGTGTGGTGGTGGCGGGTGACACAATCGTCTAGACAAGGTATTTTTGGCTGTAGTTATACCTGGGAGTGAGTTTTCCTGAGCGAGGAGGATCAGAAGACCACTCAATAGCTCACTGATGCTTACTTGGGGGTTTTTCTTTTAAAGACAGTGTGTCATATGTCCCTGGGGCCATCCCCACATCCTGGTATTGGTTAGCTGCAGAAATCTGTTCTGGTCCAGGTATAGTGGTATACAGTTTTAGTCCCAGCACTTAGGAGGCAAAGGCAGGCAGACCTCTTTGAGCTTGACACCAGCTGGGTTTACATAGTGAGTTCTAGGGCAGCCGGTGCTACATAGTGAGAACTGTGTGAAACAAAACAAAGCTCCCTGTTCTGATGCTGACTCCTTTACACTGACGGCTTAACTACTCAAGTGCAGGAAAGTCACATCACCTGTCTTGAGCTCAACACCTGTAATACTGCTGGCTGAAAACTAGCGGTTCTCCTGGAACAGGGCCAACTTCCCAGGATTCCTTACAGGTGGCGTGGTGTTAAGGGGTGGAAGTCAAGGAGAATGCTAATTACTAAAATGCTTGTGAAATCGACCCTAAAATTCAGGTGACCTTAATGAAACACTGACTTCCTATCATTTCTTCTGTGGCCTTGAAGTCAGTGAAGTGTTCATATAGTTATGACGTGTAATTGTCAGAACTGGCCATTACTGTACTGCTAACCTCTGGTCGTGTCTTTGATAACTAATGTTCATTATTCACACTGGAATGTGAGCTGCGTTTCTTTCTTTAAGGGGACACCATCCACCACCAAAGGCCATCTTTGCTGAGTTAGTCATTATAAGCAGGGTGACTGGACTTGACCTTCTTAGTATAAATTATCTTACTACATCCTTTACAGTATTCCTCATACACAGCATCGTTGGTTCTTCAGGAACACTTACTAACACCTTATATAAAACTGACTTCACATTTTATAGCCAGCCCACAGAAGCAGGAATTTCCATCAAGAACGTGTCCTTGAAGACTGTCTTGCAGCATATTGAAGCCACACCGAAAATTGTCCACTACGCAATCCTTGGCATACAGAAATGGAACAGCAAGCTGACACCTCAAAGCCTAAAAGCTCCATTCTCAAGATGCCACGTGCATGATTTCATTCTCCTCAACATAGACCTCACTCAGAATGTACAGTACGACTTCAACAGGTAGGTCAGGCCCCATGGACGCAGGACATCCTGGCATCTGCTGCTGGACGTTGCCCACTCCAGCCTCTGCGCTGTTTCTGTTCTGCCTTGGACCATAAGCCCCTTCCCTTGCCCACAAGCCCTTATGTGACCCAGGCTGGCCTCACACTTGAGATCCTTCTAAGTGCTGGGATTACAGGCATTTGTCACCACACCTAGCATGACCTAGCCCCTTGACACTGTAATGTAAAATGATCAGAGAACACAGGTTAGCCACCTGATTATTCAACAAGAATTCAAACAGGAGCAAAAACTGTTGAGTCAATTCTAATCAAGTGCACCTGTGAACATTTGGCATTAACCCCGCCCGGAACTAGGGAAGAAATCACTCCAGTGTTCTAAAGACCCAATGCTCTCCCAATAGGGAGAAGGCAGCAGTCAGGCCCCTTGAATTACTCTATACCCACATTCCTGAGAATCTGAAATAGCCAAGGAATGGTATCACTCTAACCCTGTAGCTATTAGAATGCCTACTACATCTGTGCTTCATCCCATGTGTGACCAGAACTTTAAACAAGAGCTCTGGCTCTCCTGAACACAGGATGTGAGTCCTGTTTCTGACAGGACTGCCCTAAAACCTTGTGGCCTAACAGACAGAAGTTCACTTTTCTTCCTCCCTTTAAAGCTGCAATGCTAAAATCTGTAGAGTGCAGGCCAGCTCCTCCAGGACAAGGTGATGCCTTGGGCTCTCTAAAGCCTGCCACACACTTCTCTGTGGAGTTATAGTTGAGATGTGAAAGGGCAGTTAAGAAGCTTGCTGTTGTGGTTATGATTTAGGTACTTCTGTGAAGATGTCGACTTTAACCTGAGAACGAACAGCAGTGGCCTGCTCATCTGCCGCTTCAACAGCTTCAGTCTCATGAAGAAACGTGTTCAGGTCGGAGGGCAAAGGGACTTTATCATTAAACCAAAGATCATGGTAAGCTTGTAAAGCTTGATTCTACTGTGGAGAACAAGCACAGATGTTTATGAACAGTGCTATAAGTACTGGCATTGGACAAGCTTTTCTGCTGGATTAGGAAGGGAAGTAACTTGAGTCCTCAGCATCAGCCAAGTCCCAGGCAGAAAATACAAAACTGTTTCAGAGTTAAGCCTGAAAGATTCCACCAAAGCTTGCTTATCCATCCATCCATCCATCCATCCATCCATCCATCCATCCATCCATCCATCCAAGGCAGAGTTCTTCTACATAGTTATCCTGAATTCACTAGCACCAGGCTGGCCTCAGAGATCTGCCTGCTTCTGCTGAGTGCTGGGATTAAAGGCAAGTGCCCACCTGCAAAGCTTTATTTTCAAGACAGCAATCTTCATGGTTTCTCCTTATGTGACACAGGAGAAAAATACAAATAAATACCAAAAAAAAAAAAAAATACTTGTCTGGTCCAAGCTTATAAAGAGAATTAATTCTCTGTGCCTTCTCAGGGAGGCTGCTCATCACTGTAGCATGTCAACCACTTAGCTGCAGCTGAAAAGCTTCTGCCCTTTGTTGTTAGATAGGAGTCAGCCCAAACACACAAGCAGCACTATAAAAGCTTTCCTTTGGGCCTAACAATATATTCATTAAACACACTAATAGCCCAAAAAAAGTCTTGCTGTAACCTAAATAACACTGGACTATGAGACATTTGAACCCATCAGGCTTTTAATACAGCGGTTCCTCTATAGTAGCTAGTTTGTGAGATACATTTTTATTGTTATGTATGAATCTGTTGCCTGTATGTATGTATGCATGTGGACCGTGTGTGTGTGTGTGTGTGTGTGTGTGTGTGTGTGTGTGTGTGTGTGTGTGTGTGTGTGTGTTGCCTGTGGAGGCCAGAAGAGGGTGCTGGAGCCTCTGGATCTGGAGTTACAGTGATCATGAGTCACCATGTGGCTGCTGGGAACCAAACCTTGGCCTTCTGCAAGGGCAGCTAATGCTCTTAACCACTGAGCCCTCTCTCCAGCCCACATCAGTCCTTCTTATATGGAGTTTACCATCACCACCATGGCCTGAAAATACTATGCTTTGGATCTCAAGGGACCACACTCAGAAATTCTAGCATGTGTATTTGTGTGTAAACATTCATGTAGGGCTCAGTGCTACATGTAACTTCAGGTATCCTTTGGGGGTGCTGTATAGGAACTATTAGTATGCAATCCAATGTAATCTCAGACATTTCATTTACTGACAGGCACATTTCCATGACCATCTGATTTCAGGTTTCAGAGAGCTTAGCTCCCATCTCGCCCCTTCAGTACGTCTGTGCTCCTGACAGTGAACACACGCTACTGGCAGCCCCTGCACAGTTCCTCCTGGAGAAGTTCCTGCAACACGCCTCATATAAACTCTTCCCCAAAGCCATCCATAACTTCAAGAGTCCTGTACTGGCCATTGACTGCTACCTTAACATTGGACAGGAGGTAAAGGCATGACTGGCTAGTCCTGGTCACATCCACTTCCCCCCATTTTAGTTCCACTGATAAAGAGCCAATGAGAGCATCCCCAAAGGGTCCCACAAGCACGGGATTGACCAGTGACTCAGCGTTTCCTGAGATGTCAGCTTGCCATCGTGGCAGGGACAGAAATGGCCACTTGCTCTACTTGTTTCAACATTGACAACTGTCATTATGTGGATTTTCTCAAGACTCGGTTCTTGAAAGGCACACTGTGTCTTAGCAAACATAACAAGAGCCCAATGATGACTGAACAAATAAGTATGTGCACCTTTAGAGCTGCCATTTCTCCTTTTTCCATTCTTCAAGTCCCTCATCAGTCTCACTCTGGCTTTTTAATTGCCACTTGCATCTCCAGGTTTCTGCCACGAAGTTTTTCCTTCAGATTATCTTGAGAGTCTATTTCATTGTCTTCAATAGTGTAATATATCCTTATAATGAATTTTAAAAAATAAAACAAATATCTATACTAGAGTTGGCAAGACAGTATGTCTCAATGGGTAAACTGAACTCTGGTGGGGAGAACCAACTCCTCTGAGCTTCACGTGGGCACCATGGCACACGTGTGACCAAATGAGGAAAAAACCAAGGACAAAACAAGCCACTCATAATCCAAACAAGAACATTTTCCTGTCCTGGATTTTTAGGCCTTTTCTTTGCACATATCCATAAACACACTTATCCAAACACAAACTCTTTTTAGCTTTAACGTATTCAATAAACTAAATCTAACTTAATATTAATAATCCATGCTGAGGGTTATTCCATTAACTTTATTAATAGAAATTTAAAAATCATATGATGGCTAAGTATGGAGGCACATGTCTGGAAACCCAGCATTCCAGGAGCTAGCCTGGGTTAGTGAGATTCTGTCTTAAAACACAAGAACCAACCATGTGTCAATACAATCTCAATACTAACCGCAGCTAATATTTGCTGAGTACTGAATAGACTACATTAACAATTCAAAAATACTTCTATCCAACAGGTTTTCCTACCTTTGTAGATGAGGAAATTATATGCCACATGACAATTGAGAAGAAACCAATGCTTGAATACAAGCCAAGTTTACCTATTCCATAGTTCTCTCTACTATCCTGCTACTTTCCTATAATGTCTGTGGTTACTGTCTAGGCCTGGAAGCCCTATGGATCTAAAAATTAATTCATGTTGTTTTAAGCTTCTTTCAAAGTGAAAAATTTAGTCTTTCCTATGTGTGCTTTTTTTAATGGAATGTAGTATTGTTGTTTTACTATCTATGTGTGGGGGCATATGGGCATTTTATCTGTATGTGCATCATATACATGCCTGTTGCCCATGGAGGTCAGAGGGGGATGTAGGATCCCTTGGAACTGAAGTCACAGATGATTGTGAGCTACCAACGTGGATGCTAGGGATCAAACCCAGGGGCCTCTCAAAGAGCAGCCAGTGCTCTTAACCATCAAGCTAACTCTCTAGCCCCAAAATGTAGGGCTTTAAAAAATTCAAACACACACACACAGGAGCTTCTTAATATTTGTCAGAAAAATGATTTACTACTTTACTCCTAAATACATAAAGAGCTTGAATACCCAACCTATACTGAGAAAGCTTGGCTCTCACCTTGCATCCCGAACTAAAGAGGAAGGCATTGACTAAAGTGCGCCTTAGCAAAAGTACCGCCCCTTTATTTGACTGACATCTTTGTTTTTTCTGCTTACTACTTTCAGGTAGCCATATGCTACATCAGCTCCAGACCCCACTCCGACAACGTCATTTGTGAAGGGGTGTTTTTCAGTGGACTTCTCTTGTACCTCTGTGACTCTTTTGTAGGTGCTGATCTTCTTAAGAAATTCAAGTTTCTAAAAGGTAAGTCAAATTTAGTGTTTTGAATGTGAATGCTATTGTCACTAAAGAAAAAAGAATCAAGAGTTGAATGGCACACAAGCAAGCAAAACTTTGACCACAAGTTTGGAAACTTTAATTCTAAACCAGGGTGGCTGACATTGTGGAAGACCAGGCTATTTTAAGACTAAACTAGGTACAGGCGAATAATATGATCTATAACTTAAAAAGACTTCTCGTGTGTGTGTGTGTGTGTGTGTGTGTGTGTGTGTGTGTATGCAAGAGCCTGCAGAGGACACTTGGTTGTGAGCCTTCTGACGTGGGTGCGGTAACCACTGAGCTATCTCTACAGCCCTTATCTATGACTTCTTAAACAGGCTTTTACCGTTATTTATCTTAGAAATATATGCTTCTGAGATCTAGTTTAGACAGAAGCCAGGTTGATTCTACCTATGTTTATAAGCAGTATAAATATTCTATCTGAAGTCATTTGATTGAATCGGAGATCAACTGCAGAAAACTTGCATAACTGCACCCCCAAACATACTCTTAGTTATGAGTCTGGCACAGAAACTAAAGCTGTTTTAATTAGGTATGCATCATAAAGTTCAACTTGCCTAACAGTATCTATAAATCCAGGATCACAAATAATCCTGACAAGATGACCTGAGGTCAGTGACAGAAATGACACTCCATTGTATGTGTCTGGGGTGGAGGGTGTCTTTAGCAAACAGTGGGCAGGAAGCTAGGGATACTGCTAAATACTCTACAAGGCACAGAATAGCACCTAGCAAACACAAGAAAACCAGTAACTACGAGAGGGAGAATTGTAACTGAAGGAAACCTCCATCATCACTTTAAGCTCCTTGAAACTTTTGCAAAACTACTTGGAATAGAAGATCTACCTGTACATTAGTTTTCAGAGGTGGTAACATTCTTGCTGATTTAATGTCCGCTCTTCCTGAAGGTGCTACCCTGTGTGTCATCTGCCAAGACAGAAATGCCTTACGGCAAACAATCGTTCGCTTAGAGTTGGAAGATGAGTGGCAGTTCCGCCTCCGGGATGAGTTCCAAACTGCTAACAGCAATGATGACAAGCCTCTCTACTTTCTCACTGGACGCCATATATGAGTTTTTGAAGAGACCAAAACCAACTGACATGCCTAGGTGGAGTGGGACAATTATCGGTGTTGGGTTTGTTTGTTTTTGTTTTTTCCTTTAAAGTACAATCACTGTGGAGCAAAGTGCAACGTATTTGTCCTCTCCAAAGAGCCCCTGGGACGCGACCAGTTCTGCTGACAGGACAGGGTCAGGGCAATGCCACAGTGCGCAGTTATGCAATTACATAGGATGTGCTTGTCTTCTGTAGGAGCCTGAGGATGTATTCTGCAGAACAAACATGGAGTTTGCATTTTTTTTTTTTTTTTTCTACTACACTATGTTGGGGGCAGGGGACTGACTGTCAGCATTTGCCAGCTTGAATGTGTTACATGAGACTCACACCACTGGTGTGGAATTAATTGAAGATTAACACTTGAGGCCTGAACCCTCAGTTTCTCTTCACATCTGTACTTTGGTACAGTATTACTCAGGGGTCTGAAATGATAGAATGTAGAAGATATTTGTATTTAAAAAGAAGTAGCTTTGTCTTCTTTCTCTGTGCAGTGTTAGTTTAAGATTTATAATCTTATATATATATCGAAACCTTTGGCAAAATTTCCACAGGAGTCAAAAGTTTACTATTTAAACAGAACAAAAAACCAACAAAAAAAGAAAAAAAAAGAAAAGAAAAAAACCAGTAAATGCAGAGCAGGCACTGTGTGCATTTCTGAAGGTTCTCTGAGCTGAACTCCATTGCAAACCATGTCTATATGAGTATGTATGTAGAACAGTGATTTGTGCACAAACTATGTGGAAAAGTTAGCATTCTGCAATTATGCTAAACCACTGTGTTTTAGTTGAAAGTAAGCAGTTGGCACCTGGAAACCCACACATTAGGCTGGGATTCCATTGTGGGGTCGAACTAGTTGATTTATTTGGCTCAGGCTAAGCATCATTTAAAAGACTGTAACAGTTGTCTTACACTGATACACAAAAATGGGTGAAATGGGAAACAGAACCATAGACAAGTTTTCCTTAATTTTATCAGTGACAGTTTTCCTAAGGAGTAAGAAAGACTCCATGAAATGTTTTGGACTCATTAAAATTAGCAGGTAGTGTAGAATTTATATCAAGTAGGAGGCATAAGTTTCCACCAAATATTTTAATCAGAAACACTGAGAAAATATCCTACAGTAATCTATGGGAAGTTTACATTTAAACTGCTCTAGTTCATGGTATCTCCTCAGATTTTTTTCTCAGCCCATGTGTATCACTAATCTCCAGTTAAAAATGGCCATTTTTACTTGAATCTGTCTTAGGACCTGAGACTACTGAGAGCCAGCCCAACTGAGCCTGCACTTACTCAAGTGTTAGCTGATGAGCTTGGTTGTCCAGGGATAACAAGGAGTTTACAGTTAGTAAGAAGATGGAATGTATTAGATGGGAACAGTTTGCAGATCTTTTGGCTTTAATATAGCTACTTATGTTTTAAATGTATTTTAAATGGATAATTCCTTTTTAACCCCATTTTTAATTGTCTTTCAAAGAAGAAGGACCTGCCTTATTATATGCTTACTCCTTAACTTTAGTAGAGCAGAATTTTAGCAAAGAGGTACGTCCCAAGGCAGTCTGATTTAGATATGAATGTATCTAACTTGTTCCTGTTTTGTTGCTGAAAGGGTCCAATGCAGGTAATATCAAGAAAGCTACTGTTTGTGCAATATTCCAATGACACTATGTAGGGTAAATAAAATACTTGAAATAATACCACAACTATAGTACTGGGCAGGGGCAGAAGCCTCTTAGGAGATCTTACTGGCTTTTTCTTTTTGAACTTAGTTACTTTAATGCAGGTATTCTGTGTTAGTTATGGCTACACTTTGGAAATTCAAGTGATCATGAACTGTAAATACTATTCAACTCTGTTCAAGAGAAATGCCAGAATAAAACCAAAAGACCATCACTCCAATAATTGAGAAGATTCAATTTACCTGCCTCTTCTTCTGCAAAGCCTAACTTAAGGTTTGGATGTTTTAAAATTACCTTATTAATCAGTATATTCCTTCAGTGAATGCTAGGTCCTCTTTAAGGATGAAATTGCACAAGCCCAGGCCACCATGATTTGTTAATTCATGTCTTGGTGTGTTTGATTTTACCTTCTTCCATCCCTGAGGACAGCAAGTAGATTAAGTCACATAGAAACTTACCTGCAGACCTGCTGAACTTTGGCATGCGTAACAGTTCACACAGGTTAATATTGAATGTAAACTAAAAAATTAGAAAAACTATAGTCAAGTTTGGCTGTAATTTATGCAACTGCTTCTTGTGATTTCTAGAAAAGGGGGCAACTGTGTTACTTTGTTACTGTAAAATTTTCTTAACCAAAATTTGGTGAATTTCACTCACTAGTCAGCCTACCTCACATTTTGTTATGACATTGTGTCTACAGTATGTTATTGTCCTTTCATTTGGTGAATGTATTAAAATTCCCTCCCACTACAAAGTTTGTTTTCTTTAAACCAATTTTCCATATGCTAACAGATGACATGAGCTGTGACTCCTGGCAATGGCCAGCATCTTGGATGGCTGTGAGATTCTACCTCTTGGCACAATCCAAGAAAATACTAATAGTTGAATGAAATCTATAGCTTACCTAAAGCAGCTACATACACCAAAACCTCTACTGGAAAAATTGCAGATTGCTACATAATTACAGATGACAGACCTATGCAGATGGCAACTTTGTTCACGTGTAGCCTCAAACAGTTGTGGGTCTTATATAGGGCACAGTGTCTTCCCAGGGAGATTTTTTGCTCAGGGGCAGAGTTGGCTCTGGTTTCAGGGCCAAACTGTGTCTTTCACTGGCTCTGGTTGCAGGACGGAAAGTATGTTTCTCTGGCTCTGGTTTCGAGTCAGGATGGGTTTGGTTTTGGTTGTGGTTCTGGGTTCATGGCTAAAGGTGTTTCTTTCCCTGGCTCAGGTTTCAGACCCAGGGTGTGTTTCTTTCCCTGGTTCAGGGTCAGGGTGCTAGATTTCATGCTCAGGGATTGGTTGGTTTCTTTGGCTGATACTTTCACCATACAACTATTCTTAGAAAATACCTACATTGTAAAATTTGAGGGTCTGGGTTTTTTAAAATTATCAACATGAAAAATATCTGTCCCTCTCAGTAATGACAACATTCAAAGCAACCAATCATTATTTACCATGCTCTCCCTTTAAGTCTTCACCAAGCATGGGCTGCTAATCTAAGTAATATGTATGTTAAGGCTCAAATGGAAATGATGTTGACCTACCAGAGAGCTAACACTATTCCAAATTTTACTGTACTTATTTATAAGGCAAGTAAAGAGAATAAAGATGGCTGGAAGAGTCCCCACCCTAAGGGAGAATGATGATGCCAAAAGTCCGATCAGAGGCTGAAGAGATGGCTCAGCAGTCAAGAGCTTACTGTTCTTGTAGTGTTCAGTTCCTGGTCTACACATGGTACACACACATAAACTCATGCAAGCATACATACATACAAATAGCATAAGAAGTAGTAGTGGCACACGCCTTTAATCCCAGCATTCAGGAGGCAAGAGCAGGCAGATCTCAGTTCAGTTCAAGGTTAGCCAGAGTGATATATATTGAGACCCTGCCTTGTAGTAGTAGTAGTAGTAGTAGTAGTAGTAGTAGTAGTAGTAATGAAGAAGAAGAGAATTAAGATGATGATTGGGGCTGGGAAGAGATTTGGGCTAGACAGAGATCAGTAGTTACGAGCACTTGCTGCTCTTACAGAGTTCTGTTTCCTGCACCTACAGGCAACTCACAACCATCTTGCAAATCTACTTCGAGAAAATCCAATGCCAGGGACCAGACATGCATATATATATATATATATGGTACACATACATACACATTCACATATTCACATAAAATAAAATGTAAGACTCCAGGGGGAAAAAAAGCTGGCTCACTCCTTGAGACAGAATGAATAGCTACATTCTCAACCATTGTATTCACGGAAAAAGAATAGTCTTATACAACTGTATAAATAACAAAAGAATGAACTTAGGGGATGAAATGTATACCTGATGATAATCACAACGCAAATCCCTACATTTTCATGGGTTTCATTTCAGACACGATCACATCAGCACGGACAATCTAACTGAAACCACACTGCTAATTTATTCTTGGGCTGTGGTTCTTCTTCAGTTCCTTGAAAGTTAATTAAGTACCATGTTATTAAAATATTCAGGAAGGATTGACAAACTGGTGAAAACTGCCTTTGTAGTCTGTGTTTAATCTTATTTCAATCTCAAACCTAAGAAACTCCCTGAAAGGATACATTCAACACAACATTGTCTCAGTACATTTATCACTTAGAAAAAGCTATCAAGTATTTTATTATTTTATTCTACATTATATACAGGTCATAAAAGGCCACAGCAGTTTTTCAACATATAAACCCTTTAAAAGTAGAGGGCACTATGAAGGATAGACAAGTATCAAAATGAAGTCCAGTAATGAGGGCTTATACTCAGTGCAGTGTTTCTGAGGGATAACAACGCCGATACCAAGCCACCCACACTAGTTTACAACTGTTCTCTAGTTCTTAGTGATCCTAGTCATTTATGGCGCCACATGAGAGCTTCCCACTGCCACCATCAGTGACAGAGAAGTAAGCAATGGATACTCTCTATTTTAAGTTCTGTCCTTTGGAGCTCCCCTTTCCTGAGGGGTTTTCTTAGAGTATACTTTAGTAGCTTCAAATTCTTAAGCACGTAATACTGTACTGTCCTCGAATAACTCAAAAACATTGGTTTCCACTCTGAAAATACAATCTTTAAACCCATAACTGGTATCAGCAGATCAATATAAAAAATACAGTACCAAGCTACACTGGTATATTTCCATATTAAGAACTTCAAAATATACTTATCACTGAGACCATAGTCCTTGCATTAATTTTCAGTCCACTATGAACAATTATCTGCTGCATGTAAACATGTCTAAATAAGTATAGATAAAATACAATCATAAATTTCTGTAAAAGATAAT